AAAATGTTCTACTGCTTTAAGCGAGGGGGCATTAGCTGGCTGAAATAGGTACTCAAGTCTAAGCTGGGATTAGCGGTGCAGCTCTGCATTTTGCCAAGGGATTTCTTTTTTAACCTTATGCCTGAGGGTGATGTGTAGGGCGGCGACACGATGTGCAGAGGCGGTACGATGAGCCTAATGATGCTTCTGATTCTAATCACACAAACTATTGGTCATCCACTGACTGATTCAGGTAACATGACCCCCAGAGTCTGTTCAAAAACCTCATTATGTGTGGATACAGTACTTCACTAGTTCCCTCAAGTCTAATGCTAACATATGGAAATTAGATTTTGGCATGGTACTAAATTCAACTTTGATTAATTGATATATAATGTAATTTATTCATTAAATCTATACTTTCTATTCTAAAAGGCGATTATGGTATTTTTCATTAAAAACTTGAGCTCTGTTGGAAGTGCATGTAATTAATAAGACAACATTACACGTCTCTCTGTAAAACTTAGTTTGGATTTGGAAAAACTTGGAATTGAACTGAAATGAGTTACGACATGCTTGCTTTTCTGCTCTTTTAGATCAATTATCTGTATATATACTAGGCCAGTGCACAACATAAGTCACGTCAGGGAACGTCACATTGTAAGATCAAGACATCAAAATGTTCTATTCAAGAGAGAAACCCAACAAATCCTGTGATTCCCTTTGAGCAAGCATTTCAGTCACAGCTAAGTGACCAAAACAACAAATTTCTTCCATTTTAACCTAAACTCTGATCTTCCCCTGATCCTAAACAAGTTGTTTTTGTGCCCAAACCTGAGCACTGGGTGGCACAGACAACCTGTGTTGACGTTAAGGGTGGAGGACTTGTTGAACAGTTGTTAGAAGCACCGCCATTTAAATAATTCACCTCTAATCTTTCCGTGGTTTCAAATCAGTAATTATTCAAATGATCAAACATTGCCTTTAGAAGTATTGTGTGTAAGAATGTGCAATTCATATGTATGAATCACCTTTTTATTGCCAATGTGTGAATAGATTGTAATTTAAAAAATTAGACCTTCCCCTGTGGACTGCTTTCTATGTAAAGGACTCGAGGCAGATGTTGTGGAAAGGAATGTTTAAGGGTAAGGATGTGTAAAACAACAATGTAAAATGCTAATGTTAGCTCAGAAATTGAGTCTGCTACCATCTGTGACCAGCTTCCAGAACAACCCCGACTCCACACAAACTCTGCATAGGCACAAAAAACCTCGAAAGTTGTATGTAGTAAAGCCTATGTGGCCAAATGGGAACGTGACCAACGTCAAGCGAAATCTAGTGTCAATATCAGTCGGTTATTCAGTTCATCTGGGGGCAAAACAGGGAAATGATATTCATAGTCAAATTATAACAACAGTGTAACTTAAGTCACCTCATCCATCAACATGATGCAAATCAATTGCATACAGTTTCGTGTCACTGTTTTGGCTAAGAATACTTGCTCATGCCTAGCTACGGAGCACAAGCTACAGGATGCTGACTGCAGCTCACATCCCTATGATCTTTTCTTACATGCTAGAAGACACATCACAAGCAAAATTAAGCCCTCAATGCCACAGCGTTTTTTTTCTTGTTTTTTGGGGTTTTTTTGAGTCCATGTCCTGGCTGTCACCTTAATTTTGTTGAACATGCCTGTATAATGAGAATAAAATATCTCGTATCTTGAATCTTGAATACGTAAGTCATACGTAGCAAACGTAAGGACCAATCCTATCAACTTGTAGGGTAGAGTTCTCTGTATCATTCTTCTTTTTTAGAATCAGTTTCGAACACATATGGCTGAATTACTCCAACATCACAACTTTTCAGTTTACAGCATCTGAGCAGTATCATCGGTGAGCTGGTGTGCTCGAGCTGCAGTGAGTGGGGAGGGGTGGGTGTAGCATTACTTTTAAACAATTTTAAAGCAGGAAGGGATTATTTCAAAAAATAAAAACTTATAGATACATATTTATGATGCACTGAGATGAGTTTTTACAGATTTAATCAGAGTCCGGAGAGTCTTTAAAAAAATTAATTAAATACAAATGAAAAAGAGAAACAAAAAAGTTCAAGTTGATGATGATCAGAGCCCCCAAGCCTGAAGTTGGGAACCACTAAACTCCAACAGTACATCTATAACAGTAAATATACCTTAATGCATAAGTGCTTATATTCTCACACATCACAGATCAATCACAGAGGGCATTTTATAATATGTAACGAGTACTTCAACTTATGACGTCTTCAGTGCAATTTGCAGAAAAACGTTTAATTCAATTCAATTCAATTCAATTTTATTTGTATAGCGCATATTTACAACAACAGTCATCTCATAGCGCTTTACTTTGCTTTAGCGTTTACTGTTCTGTGCTGTATTTTTAGGCTAATTATCTAAGTATTAACTTTCCACCACTGCTTAAAAAAAAAAAAAAGCAAAACAAATAAATAAGCACATGGGAAACCAAAATCTGCTGCAAAATAATGGAAAATACCCATCTGATGAAAAACAACAACAACCAAAAGACTTTCTTTTTAAATTTTAAATTTTGTTTGTTGGCTTTTTAATGTTTAATGAAGTCTGTTTACACGTGTACAACTGTGAAACTACCAGGAATTATTACATTAGTTGGGTCAAATATGTAGTTTTCTTTAATTATCTGGAATATAAATTCAGAGTATTTGTGTATTTTTTTGTAGTTACATGCACATTACTACTAATACTACCAACACACTCCATATACTGTGTGTGGCATGTGACCATGAGTTTGTTTTCTGTGGTTTGGTGACGGGCTGTGAGCTGATCTCGGGTCAGTGATCAGGACTCCTCCTCCTCCTCCTCTGATCTCGGCTCAGTCCTCCGCCTTCACGCTGCACAGAGTCCGCTGCCAATCATGGAAAGCCGGCATCGATATTTTTGGTGACTCTGTGGTTTCGACTAAACGATCGGGAATATTTCACCGGATTAAAAGAAAGAAAAATATAACAAACCAACCCAAAACGTTACATTTCTGCAGCAGAAAATGGGATTAAACCAAAGGAATCAGAGGAATAGTGCTGCTGTGATCGGCTCAGCGTGAAGAGGCTTCAACAGGTGAGTTACAGACAATCAGCCAGGAGAGACTGACAGTTTGCATTTCACGTCTAGTTTATAATGAAATCAACTACGCTTGATTCTCATATGTACTTAACAGCAATAGAAATGTGAAGTTACAGTGTAAAGCACAAAAATACTTGTTGAATTTTGATGCATGTTTTATTTAAAAGGGTAATTATTATTGGTCCTAAAAAGACACCTGTGGGTGCAACTAGCATTCAATATCATCATCAAGTCAGTGTACATGTTTTGCATGCAATGGATTTTGATAAACATGTTGAAATAAAAGATGTGTGCATATAAAGAAGGGCATATCTTGAGAAAAACACAAACACACCACAAATCTCCAGCCTTATAGCCAGCTTTGATCCTGTGGAACAGCTAACATCCAGGAACAGTATGAATTGAACCTTGTGATTTAAAAAAAGATAGTTCAGAGACTGTGTTGTGTAAAAATGTGGAATATGAGCAGCTTGTTCAAATATCAGAGGTGACTACATGTATGCTCCGTTATCTTGTATTTTATATTCAGAATCTGTCAGTGATGCTCTGTGCTGTATGCTGAGTGTCACTAAAATTGCATGTACATGGGTACTTGTACAAACACACAAGTATCAGTTAAGGACAAGTCCTGGGACTTAAAATATCAGAATGCTTAAGTTGTTATTTCATCACTGTTACATGTAAAACCACATTCAGCATCATTCATGGATTTAGCTCAATGCCTAACATAAGATATGTCGTGTTTTTCTAGTTAATATGTGACACTTGTACTATTTTTAAGGCTTACTTGTTTATTTGTAGCACCATTGAGGTCTGTGCCTTAAATTTAGCTGTGTGCGACGTATATTTTAAATCGAGAATAATCACAAGGATTTTAAAATGAATTTTGGTGTAATCAAACCAGATGACAGACAGTTGCACCGCAGTGCAGTAGGTGGAATATTTGACCAGCTGCAGTTGCTGTAGGAAGATTTAAGTTGTGGTTATCACCCTTAAAAGCAAGAAAAAAGTAGCTTAAAGCTCAGATTTAAAACTTGGATCAATACAATCACTTCTAATGACATTTGCTCTCCATGCAACAGAAATATTTGCATCATCCAGATCAACAAAAGTGCTGCGTGGTTGTTCGATGATGATGTAACTGCACATTTAGTGCACAGACACACTGCTGCCTTTACCTGTCGTCATCCTTCAAGCACTCAGCTTCTTGGCAATTCTCTCAGTGTGATTTAATTTAGTGGGGGTTGCTGCTTAACTCCCTGGTATTAGCACTAATCTACATGAGTGCACGTGTTACAACCATCGGTGTTCCCCAGAGATCAGTGAGTCATTATTTACCACCAGACAAAGTATATATTTAGTTTAAAGCAAAAAAAATCACTAAACTTCAGTTTCCATGTTACACTCAAAGACTCTTAATTGGATAGAAATGTTCTTGAAAGACTAAATTCCATCTGCAGTCCATCAAAATGTTAAACAGGAGTTTTTAGATGCACTTGCTGAAGCAGACCAGGCGGTTTCTTCACGCTGTCGCTGCTCTCAGCCACGTACCTTTGTACCTGTTCCTAAAGTGGTGCCCTAATAGACTTAACCTGCTGTATCCACCACAGAACACAGCAACCACAGTCCGCCTGTAATCCATAGCTTAGTTATTTTAAAAGCCAGCTGATGGTTCACAGAGAAAGGGCACTGATCCTGTTTACTGTTTAAGGACGTAATCAGGATGTATTTTTAGGCGCCACTCTCAGACAGACAGTGAAGAGTGGTGTTCAGTAAACACATCAACAACTCTCATGAGTCACTTGTGTTGATTTCAGGCTGATATGATAATGTCTGTTTCTGTTCCTGTGTGCTGCAGGCCGGCAGAGCCAGACACGACGAGATGGCGAAAGTCGGCAGTGAAAAGTCAATTTTGGCCAGACAGCGACTGTCCACCAACACGTCAGACGACGAGCTCGCTGTCATTGAAAATGGGGACAGCAGGTTCGATATTTCTGACAAAATTTACTCCCCTTCCAGAGCATTGATGTCAGTGTGCTTTAATGTCCCTCTCTGGTCAGTGATTTAACCCCTAAAAACTCATCTTTGTGTATCAAAGTTACCAATTTGAAAGTTTTATCCATGAAAATAATCCATTCTTGCCTTAGATACAACTCTACACTGTTGCTCTTTCTCCAGCCACCAATCCCTACTCGCTGCAGCTCGAGCACACCAGCTCACCTTCAACTCTGCTCATACACTGTAGAACTACTCTAACCTAACCAATGGCAAGCTGTAATATAATTCAGCCATGTATGTTTGAACCAGAAAACTAACGATACAGCGAGTTGACAGAATCAGTTCCTGACATTTGGTGCACATGAAACTCTGGAAGTCACTGATATACTGCAGTGTCCAGGCGGAAATGTTCAGCTGTGGTGTCGACTGCTTATTTTGCTAATGTTGCATCTTCTAGCACATAAAAAACACTATATGGACATTTTACCAAAGGGGCTCTTTAATCATGCTGACAATGGATGGTTTGGGTCTCCTTGACATACTGAAATAAGTCATGTTTAAGTTCATTTGCTTGATTTGTCAATAAGATTTTTCCACGCCTGCTGTCTTCCAGGGCACACTCTGCTTGTGAAGGCAACTCTGAGAGAGCGCTGTCCTCAGGGTCCCACAGAGATTCATTTACAGGTGCTGGAGCGATGGCCAGGTAAACTTCAGTAGTTATACTCACTTAGCGTTAGTTTGTTCTTAGTAGGTATTAACCCCAGGGGTTGAGCCGAGGGTGGCCTGAGGTGACCATGGCCACCACCTTCACACCACCAATAGTGCAGCCTGTTAGAGGGCTGCGTAAGTACTCCAGCAGCTACTATTTTACTGGCAGGAATTTTTGCAGAACTAATTCCTGTAGAGCTGTTGTTCTCACACAGGTGCATTTAAACGGTGCAACCAGCCCATATTCAACCAAGCAGAGCAACCATCAGACTGATTTGTAGCAAGTTAAACATCCATCCATCCATTATCTATACACCTCTTAATCCTCACTAGGGTCGTGGGGGGCTGGAGCCTATCCCAGCTGACTTAGGGCGAAGGCAGGGGACACCCTGGACAGGTCGCCAGTCTATTGCAGGGCTACGCTTAAGACACTTAAGACAGACAACCAAGCACACTCACATTCACACCTTCAAACAATTTAGAATCACCAATTAACCTCAACATGTTTTTGGACCTTGTGGGAGGAAGCCGGAGAGAACCTACGCTGCATGGTGTAAACACAACACAGAAAGATCCTGGTGTCCTCATCGGGACGTGAACTGGCGACCTTCTTGCTGCGAGGCAACAGTGCTAACCACTGCGCCACCTTGCTTAAACATTTCTAATTATTTTCATTAAATTGTACACGCAGTCTAAATATGCATCTGTGTTTTTTTTTTAACACGTAAATAAAGAACCTGTACATGTTTTTGTCAGTTAAAGTGTGTAGGATTTAGGTATAGCTGTATATTTAATTGAAGCTTCTGCACAGACTCTTGAAGACGCAAGAGTCTTACATATGTAATTTCAATTGTACTTATTTTTCAAGCTTTATAAACAATTTAAAAAGCACAACCTTAGCAACAGTTCCAAATTTTTAATTACTTGAGTGTCACACAAAAAGCTTATTATTATGTATATGAGTTCTCATTTCATTTCTACATGGAAGTCTTCGTCGCAGAAGCCAACGATAAGAGTGAATGACCCAAAAAAAAAAAAAACAACGAAAAAAATGAATTAACACTATTTGGCCAACAGCAACTTGGTGGGGAAAAAAATAAACAAGACATCCTTCTGGTCACCTCTATAAAAACTGTCTGGCTCCACCACTGATTTACCAGTAAGAAAATAACTGTACAGTTCTGAAGTATTTTCCTAATGCCTCTTCCGTAACTAGTTATAGTTGTTTCTCTTAAAAACATACCAGTGGTTGTCAGCCCTTTTGCACTGTAACTCATTTTCAAAAATACAAATACAGATTTTTTTTTCCCTCTCACAAAAATGATCTCATGACCCCTCAGACTTACCTTGTGACCCTCTGAGTCTTTTTGTTTGCTCGCACACTATTTACAGGCTGTATATGAAAGATGGACATTGCCTTTAGGTGCCTTACACCTGCATTCTGTCTATCAGCCAGCAGGGGGGGGCAACTCCTCTGACTGCTAGAGGTCAGATTGTTCGTAGACAATAAAAAATGATCCTACTTCTCACTTGATCTGTTAAATCAGTAAACATTTTCCTAATGAGTTTATGGTCTCAGTCGCTAGTTTGAGACTTTCTGAATACAGTATGATGTTCATTTTATAAATTATGGTCCCATTTAGAGTAAAACAGACGATTAACGTAGGCGAAAATAGCCGATTGACTGGCACTACTGCATAACTATGCGTACTGTCTGGCTCTCTAGTCAGATGCACTGCTTGTTCATTACATCTGGTTTCAAAAGACCAAGATGGCAAAAGCCAAACTTCAAATTAAAAAAACAGTAGTTCACAAAACAATGGGTGACGTCATTGGTGGTCCATCTTTTATATACAGTCTATGGTGACCCCCTTTGCAAAAATGCAATTACAAATTTGTCTTGTGACTCTTTGAGGTGACCCATCCCCTATGTTGAGAACCACAGATTGATACTCAGCTAAGCTATAAGCATTATTTATATATGCAGTTGACATGACTAGTAGTCTGCTCCTAGCCTAGATGGGTGTCACGTTGTGTTGTTTTTGCCTCCACTGACTCTCTAGGCTGTCTTACTTCTTCTTCATGCTGCGAACCTGGGTGTCTCACAGGATGAACCCCGAAGAAGAGAGGCACGACTCTTTCCTCGAGCGCTTCAGAGGCCCTGAGCTAAAAGACATGTCCTGTCGAGAGAGTAACGCCCAGTCAGTGGGCCACGACGACACACTCCGCAAGAGAAAGTAAGCACAGTGTGGCGGTACTGGCAGGGGTGAAGGTGTTCACACTGAAATTTCTGGAGCCACAACAACTGTGTGGCTTCTTCTGTGTGAACAAATTCCAATAAACCCACTAAACTGGACAATTTACATGAATTACAAGAATATGAACCATTTCCTCACATCTGTAAAGCATCAAACTGGGCTGAAAGAACCTAGAAAATCAAAGTCACCGTACAATGTTAAAAGTTAAAAGCCTGTTTGCTTCAGTAGAGTGAATTATATTCATTCATTCTCCACACACCTGCATTTTTAGATTGGGGAAAAGATAGTTATTGAAGTTTCTTAATTTATGTGCCTACATACACTTTTATTTTCTCAACTGGCTATATTGTAAATGAGGCCTCTGTATGTATGAGTTTAAACAAAGGTTGAATAATGAAAGCAGCTGAAATCCAAACACACACCTCCTATGATATGGCTAGCCACTAGTTAACAACTAAGTGTAAGTTATCCAGCACCCCAAAGTACATGCAATCATATGAGTTAACCCAAACTCCTCGGAGTTAAACGTGTCACCAAAAAAAGATTTTTAAGAAGTAGGGGAAAAAGTGGAATTTCACCAAAAAATACATATTTTGTGATATTTAATATGTCAGAAGAGATGAATGAAAAATGTTTGAGGGTTCACGATGCAAAAATGTTTGCCTTCTCTTTCCAAAGTCTTGCCAGTAAGTGGCCTCTAGCTACTTACAACATGAATAACTGCAACAACACAGACAAGTAAGTGTGAGCAAATCTGTGTCACAATATAGATTTTTTAGAAGAATTAGTCATAGATTATTCTGGACATCACTCTAGTCCCTTTTCTTGCAGCTAGCGCAGTGAATACCATAGCTAATAGCGTTAAAAATAACACCTTGAAAGCATGTCCTCCAGCTCCCTCTTCCTCTTGTGTTTCCTCCTGTATGTTAGGAAAAAAAAGTCCCTTTTCTCACTTGAAGGTTTTTTGTTGCAAGTATTGATGGGTGGGTTGTACTGAGTAAATCTTTAAATCAAAATTGTAGAAGTATATTATGGTGTTTAGCTAACTGGAGTTTTTTAAAGGTAGTCTGAGAGTAACTTACCTGTAGTACGATGCCATCTGCTGGACAAACATATGACCTGCACCAGATCTTCCAACAAAGCCTTAAATTCAAATATTCCCAAAGTAGATTCCCTTCATGTCGTCTGTTGGCCTTCAAACAGTCCCTCATAGACCACCTTCGACCTTTTTCCTCAACTATTAAAAAAAAAAAAAAAAAAAACATAAACTTGTGATCTGTAGCAAAAAAGATGAGATTAAAAAAGACGACAAAAAGGAGGACGAGAAAAAAGACGAGAAGAAGGATGGTGACGAAAAGAAAGATGGGGACAAGAAGGAAGAGGAAAAGAAGGACGAGAAGAAGGATGAGAAAAAAGATGAGAAGAAAGACGAGAAGAAAGACGATAAGAAAGATGATAAGAAAGATGATAAAAAGAAAGAGGAACCTCCGTGAGTACCCTCTTAGGTGCACTAAGTTTGTTGCAGCTAAAGAGAAAGTGTCTGTCTCTTTCCTATTTGTGTAAAGTTGACAAAAACCCTTGCAGCAATATTAATTTTAAGTTGCTTCCAGGAAAGAAATCTGGATAATGGATCCAGCTGCGGACCAGTACTACAAGTGGCTGACTGTCATCGCAGGCCCAGTGTTTTATAACCTGATGATGATTGTAACGAGGTAATGACCAATTCACACATTAAAGCTGTATTGCACACTTGTTTTTGTGCTGTAAACTAAATAATAAGGCTGCGTTAACATTGGTATTTATAACACATTTACAAACATTTGCTTCTCACAGTTTGAAAATGTCTCAACACAACATCTATTCCATTCATGAAACGCCAAATCAGCGGTGGTTGATCTTCCTCCTCCAGTTGCTGTCCTAGCTGGACTCTGGATATGTATTGCAGATATCTGTAATTTAGTTTTTCCTGGTCAATAAAGAACATTTTAGACATCCACATGACATTCTTTCTTGACATTACTTTTACCATTCATGTGTATGGGCTTCTAATTATACAGATTATACAGAGCTTTGCTGGACCAATATCCAATTGGAAGCCTGCAGTGCCATGCACAACAGTTTAGAATAGTCATACTGATGTTTGACATATCTGCAACTATTATTTTGACCAGTCAAAACTGAATTACAGCTACCTCTAACTTTTGTTTTAACTGGTCAGGTTGACGTTAAGCATATCTGGAATAAAAATTCTTATTAGTGACAGTGTAATTATGACTAGTTAAAATGATGTTGCTGATACACGTACTGGTAATTCTGGGCAAAACAAGCTCATCTATTACATGTTAAAACAGTTAGTTATAAGTGGATGGGGTTGGGTTTAGAGGTGGAGGTAAAGTTACATTTTAACAATCACCCAGTAAGGCACTGACAGATTTTTCCTCCTTGTCTTCTAGGGCCTGCTTCAATGAACTACAGGACTCATATACAAAAGTCTGGATAGTCCTGGACTACACCTCAGACATCATCTACTACGCTGACACATTTGTCAGAGCGAGAACAGGTTAGATTCTTGAAAATGTTTGAGGAGAGAATGTATCTGTACATCATTTTGTGTCCATTTTTGATTTTGCTTCTAATTTTGTTTGTCCCTCAGGTTACCTGGAACAAGGTCTGCTGGTAAAAGATGCCAAAAAACTGAGAGATAAATACAGAACAACATCTCAGTTCAAATATGATGTAATTTCAATGATACCCACAGATCTTCTGTTTCTGAGATATGGATTCAACAACCCAGAGTTTAGATTCAACCGCCTCTGCAAGATGTCGAGGCTTTTTGAGTTCTTTGAGCGGACTGAAACCAGAACAAGCTTCCCAAACATGTTTCGTATCAGCAATCTCGTACTTTATATCCTTGTGATTATCCACTGGAATGCTTGTCTGTTCTTTGCCATTTCTAAAACGATTGGTTTTGGGACGGACACTTGGGTATACCCTAATATCAGCCACCCAGAGCACGGCCGCTTGGCAAGAAAGTACATCTACTCCCTGTACTGGTCTACGCTGACCCTCACCACTATCGGAGAGACCCCTCCACCAGTCAAGGATGTGGAATTCCTCTTTGTCATTGCAGACTTCCTCACTGGTGTGCTGATTTTTGCTAGTATCGTCGGTAACGTCGGTGCTATGATCTCCAACATGAACGCTTCTCGTGCTGAGTTCCAGGCAAAGATTGATTCCATAAAGCAGTACATGCAGTTTCGAAAGGTCACGAAAGACCTGGAGGCCAGGGTCATCAAGTGGTTTGATTACCTGTGGACGGAGAAGAAGACCTGCGACGAGAAGGAAGTTTTGAAAAACCTCCCAGACAAGCTCAAGGCTGAGATTGCCATCAACGTCCACTTGGATACTCTAAAGAAAGTGCGAATTTTCCAGGATTGCGAAGCTGGTCTGTTGATTGAATTGGTGCTCAAGCTGCAGCCACAAGTGTTCAGCCCTGGAGACTACATCTGTAAGAAGGGGGATATCGGCAGGGAAATGTACATCATCAAAGAGGGGAAGCTAGCAGTGGTGGCCGATGATGGTGTCACTCAATTTGTAGTTCTCAGTGACGGCGCATACTTTGGGGAAATCAGTATCTTAGGGATCAAGGGCAGTAAAGCAGGTAACAGAAGAACAGCCAACATCAGAAGTGTTGGTTACTCCGATCTCTTTGCGCTATCCAAAGACGACTTGATGGAAGCGCTCACTGAGTATCCAGAGGCCAAGAAGGCGCTGGAGGAGAAGGGCAAAGCCATCCTAATGAAAGACAACCTTATCGACGAGGCGATCGCAAATGCTGGTGCTGACCCCAAAGACATGGAGGAGAAGATCGTCAAACTGCAGAGCAACCTGGACACCATGCAGGTCAAATTCGCCCAGCTGATGGCAGAGTTTACCTCCAACCAGACGAGGATGAAGCAGAGAGTGACCAACATGGAGGCCAAAGTGAAATCCCTTCGACCGGAGGATCTCTCTGAGGTGGTGGCTGACAAGGACAAAAAAGTCCAGTAATATGACAGATATCCAAGAACTCTACAGGAATAAAAAAACGAATGAAACTTTTTAAAGGCCCATGTTTATATCTATTTATACATCATGTTTATTATCATCACAATGTGTCAAATTGTGTACAGTATATGAATAATGTGTTTATTTGTGTGTATGCTATGACTGACAGCCAATTTCATGTTGTCATAAAACTACTCGAGTATGTATGGCTTTTCATAGCCTTAGAATAATGTTTATTTTCCAGATCAGTATTGACATTTTCCCAGAGAAATATATTGATCTATCTGTAAAGTATTAAGTGAAATTCTTACACAAAAGTACAATTGCATTTTCCATTTGGCATTGTACAAGAATGTACATAAGAAACCGAAATGCGAGTCCTGTTTCTAAGTTACTGTCAGCATACACTATCAGCTGTAAATCTTCTGTGTAAAATAAAGATTAAAATGTTGATATAACATGTATTGTTTGCATCTAAATTGTCATGTTGTACATGAAAGACAAGGATCCCGTTAGTGATGACAAGATGACTTAAAATTACACTACTTTCAGGGCCTTTAAACCTGCGGTAACAAACTGTTTGGCCACTTGAGGGCAGCAGAAACCAGCTTTGGACACAGTAACATATTATCCCCTTTTTAACAGTTGCTGATTTACATATAAATAGAAAACAGCTGACTGCTTTTAATGGCATTTTACCTGGTAGTGCTTCGTTAAATTATACAGAGAATGTTGGATGCTTACGCTGATGACTTTAGGAAATTACATCATCTCGCAATATGTGTCCAAAAAAAAGCCAATGGATATTATCCGCAAACCATGAAGCCCTAGTCAGGCACACATTGAGTTCAAATGATCCCATAACTCAGCGTTGTTGCTTCAACCTCGTAAAACTGATTGATTGAAACTGAACAGATTTGTGGACCAGAGCTAGTTTTTTTTCTTCTTTCCTTCCGCATTAATCACCTGATTTATTTGCTGTACCTGTATATAAAACTAGATATGAAGTAATTCGAAGTAGTTTCACCTGCAGCAGCTACAACAGTAACATGCCGCTGACACTCTGATGCTTCACTATTAATGATCTTATGATGTCATAAAGAATATCAGTCAGAGGGACCGAACCTGGATTTTTAATTTTATACTATAATCACATTCTGCTGCTAATTTCTTAACTTAAATAATATTTTTTTTGTTATACTGTAATGGTACTTTCAAATACATAAAAGCTCTGAATACTTCTTGCACTATTGCTGTTTGTTGTTGAGCAGATGGTGTGTGGTGTGTTTTCAGAACCTCTTGCAGAAAAAAAGCTGCCTGCTGCAGCAGAAAATCAACAAAATAGTAAATCAAAATGGTGAAGTTGCAGGCTGTAAAAACAAAACAAAGCACTGACAGTCAATTCAAAGCTGACAGTAAGTCAAGTGATATTTCTATGGGTTTGTCCTCTTTCAAGTTTCAGAGTCATGTGATCAATATAAAAAATACTGACTGCAGCAGCTTTAAGTTTTCTCTGTTGTAAAATTAATCTAATGAGTATTTAGGACAAGGTTACCAGATTTTTTTCACCGTTATTTTATTTTGCATAATAGTAGATTTACAGAAGAGTTTCACATTATCTGCACATTCGTTATGTACCTGAGATATTTGGCCAAATAAAACATTTCATGTGACTTTTTTCCTCATATAGGCATTGCACATTTGGCGACTGCACTTACAAGTGTGCAATCAAAAACTCTCAGCAAATAAACCAAGAGAAGAGAAACATTTTTTTCAGGATGTGAAAGTCTGAACCGACCAGTCAGTGACTACATTCTGAAATCCTGCAAACAAACTATCAGCTCCAGCTCACAACAAACACTATTCATTTCATATGTGATACAAGAGGCACAACAAAATTAAAACTGTTAGAATACAACCATAAAATCAACTCGAAGTCAGCGGACAGTTTGTGGTCACGCTTGTAGGAAATACTTTAAATATAAGCTTTAGGGTATTTGGATTAGCAGTGATGTAAAAGGCTTTACCTTAACTTACTACAATGACAATCGTAGCCAAAGAGCACCATTATGCCCAGTGCATCCTAGTGGGAAAAGAGCCTGGGGACTGAATACTGCTACATCTTCAAGACTGCAACAACATGACAAAAGTCCAACCAAATGAATAAATACACTGTATGTGCCGTGTATAAGTGCACTTTCACAGTTTCACAAATCAAACAGTATCTGTCTGTCCAGAAAACAAAACACACGTGAAAAAAAATAACGATTTAAGTGCCGCTTTAAATTCTTTGGGAAATCTAACGTATACGAAAGTGGCTCTAAAAGGAAGTGAGGCCTCAGCGTGGAAGGCCAACGAACGGTGGCTGCAAGAGTTTGGTTAGGCACAAAGTTATTGCAGCATTATGTTTTTTTCATGGCATTTCCCTATGTGTTTTTGAAATACTCCCTTTTTTGTACAAATGCAGTCTGAAAACTTTCCTTTGGCTCTGTCACAGCATCCCAAAGCCTTTGGCGTAGGTGATGGCCTTGAGGAGCCTTTCCCTCAGCTTTTCCTTGGTGGAGTATTCAGGGAGCAGCAGTGCATTAAAGCAGGTGTGGGAGGTTGGTAGTCTGCAGAAGAAGTAAGAAACGTGGACAAATTGGAGGTGTGACCAGTGTTTTTTGAGCATCAACAGAAAGCTCTGAGTCTAGAGCTGATCCAAGCAAAGCAACAAACTGTTAGTTATAGGTATATTTTCACATAAGGACAGATTTCGGCAGAACAGGTGCAAAGAATAGATGAAACAATGCCTCAGACAAGGATAGGTCTTTTTCTCCAGCACTGCATTTCTTTTTAGTCTCAAAATATGTATCATGAACTCACACAACCACTGAATCTATTGTGGACAATGTCGTTAGATACATATGTTTCATTATATTTTCATTTGCCACCTGGTTCCTGAATTTTGAGTGTTCCTTCATATAAATGAAGACGCTTCCATCATAAATTGATGCAGACAAGGCACGAGTTGGTGACTAAAATTTATTAGATTGCAAGAAATGAAGCGTTTGTTCAGGTATGTTGGGTGAAAAAATTCAGATGATTTCAATCTGACTTCACTGTACCTGTCTGTGTCTGAGCCGTTCTTGGCGATGATCATTTTTAATTTGCCGAGACCGCCAACCGGTGCTCTGTCTGTGCCGGTGGTAAACTGAAGAAACAACCTCTTCTGCTCCTCCCCAAATGAGTGAATAGTTTCCCAGAAGTCTCTGTGTGCAGAAAATAATGAAAATCCTTCATTAAATCTGTCCGAACTTCCTGCAGACCAAAACATTTACAGATTTCATCACTTACTTGATAATCTGACTGTCTTTGCTATAACCTCCATCATATTCTGTTGTCTTTTCAAGTGCTTCAAAGTCAAGTTTCTATGGAACCAACACAGATTGTACTGCCATTAATGAAACACTGGCCACAATTAGGCAATAAAAATCTGAATTACAATGTGTTTTCTTACCCTGCTTCCACAGATAAGCAGCTCCACTTCCTCTGGTCTGAACAAATACTTCAGCGGGGACTCATTTGTGACCATTAGGAAACCTTTTTTGAAGGCTTTGAATTGTCTCTCCACGCTGGTGTTCAGGATGTAGTCAACATACAGATCCACAAACTCCTGTGAATTATAGACGTAGAAAGCAACAAAAAGATGTTTAAATGTGCCAGAACTCATTTTCTCATCGTTAACTTTTTTCTTTAAACAATGACTGTGTGTGGTTTGTGTATTGAGATAAACCAACCTACAGAATTTATTATCGAGGAAATGGCTGTTGTGTTATAATTTTTATATGCATCATGTTCTGAATCTTGTACTTGTGAAATGTACATTTCAGTCAAAAGAGGAACAATGTGCACACAGTGTGCCAGTAGCCTCTCCAGACTATACTGAACTGCTTTTTGACACTACAAAGCTAAAACAGTGACCACACATCTGATGAAAATGTATTGTTAATACCAAAAGCACCAATGAGTTATTTGCCAGAGCTGAAGAGGGGAGCAACTGGGATGGAGCAGGTTACAGCAACAAACAGTGTGGAGGGAGAAAACAGAGAATGATTATGAGAAAAGTTTCTGATGCTCCAGATAACTCACAAATGTGTTGTTCAGAGGAAGGATTACAATCTGAAGAAAGAGAGCAATCTACCAGAACTCCTGAGCTGTATAAATGGTTATACTTATACAAGACAGGAGTTTTTAAAGCGAGACAGTGTGACTTCCTCATAGGGATTTATAGAGTTTACTCTGCCTTATTCGGTCTGATATGACAAACAACTTGCAGAACACTTTATGAAGACTTTGTTCTGTAATAAACGTGACACTTTATTTCCCTTACTACTTAGTAAAGTCACACAGACTGACCTGTCTGTTCTCCTTAGTAACAGGGATCTGGTCTCCCTCCTCCTTCAAGTCGTACAATACAGGGTTTCCAAAAAGGTCTGTGTGTGAAATCTGGAAGGTGAGCATCATGTCTTCTTTCACATTGCCAGTGTATTCGAGCAGTCCCTTTAAACTTTGGTAGAGAACCTGCAACAGGAGAAACATTTGCCATCAAATCTACAGTGAATCTACAGAAAATAAAGATTTAAATTCCCCTTTAGCAACTCAAAACAAATTGCTGCACAATTGCCTTTGTGTAAAAGCTACTTTTGGAAATAAAACTGATCTATCATGTTTCACTGTGTATTAAAAACAGAGAAAGTTACTATACTGGATGTGAGTCTGACAGGTCCAAGTAGGTCCCTTTCTTTCCCATGAGTTTCCTGTAGACAACCATCGGGAAATGGACGTCCAGGATGCAGTTGTTGTAAATAGCGAGTCCTAGGACGATTCCAATGAGAGTGTACTGTGCTTCATTCTCCAGCGAGGACGAATTAAACCAGAAAAGTTTAGTTTCATCGTCATAGGTGAACATTCCTGTGCAGAAAGTCAGAAAGAGAGAGAGAAAACACAGAAGAAAATGAACAACTTAAAGGACTGGTGGTGTAATTAAAAAGTTCTGGTAGTGCTGGGAGAATTGTTTGCTGGACAAGAACACTACTGCAATGGGGATAGCAACCAAATTTAAAATCAGTTACTTTTTTTATAGACAGTCTGAACGTCATCACACCTAGAATAGAATTTGGACCAGAATTAAATGAGAGAATTAATACGACAGTCGTGTCTACAGGGGTATCAAAAAGCTACAGCTATTAGCTTAGCACAAAGCCTAGAATATAGGGGAAACAGCTAATTTGGCTCAGTTAAAAGGCTAAAAAAGACATTTCTGTTAACATAAGGTTGTCAGGCGACAGGGTGAAATTGGCAAGTAGTTGAAAGAAAGCCGCAAGTTAAAGTTTGTACAGTTCAGTTTTCATTAAAATATAATAACCTAACTGAAGAGCTGCAAAAGTGTCGTTGAGCAGTTTGTTGTTTTTCCTTTTCACAGGGCCAGACTAGCTGTTTCCTTAACTTTCTAGTGTTTTTGCTAAGCAAAGCATGTGACGACTCCACCTTCTTGATTAATGGACAGATGTGAAAGTGGTATCAATCTTCTTCATCCTAAAAATAATAAACTATTCAGGGATGCACAGAAACCAAATGTAGACACAGTAGGCACGTTCCAGTATCCATACTATCATACAATATAATATAAAAGAAAAAGATTCAGTGTGTCCCAATACATTTTATGTCAAATACCTGAATGTCCGACTCCATCCAGTCAGATTTTGTAGTGTACAAGCCAGCATGCTGTTCTAGTCATTCTGACCCACAATCCTCTGTGCAGTTCCATTGTAGACTGCAGTGGTCAACGTCTAAGGTGCATTATTATGATGAGGCAGTATGTTCTAATTTCATGCATACTGCATGAGACACTGTACTTTGTGAGGGCAGCTGTAGAATGTACTGGAAGTACAAAGAAAATGTCTCACCTATGTCCGGATTGAAAATTTCCTCCAAAACCAACTGAAAAAACTCCTTTGAAACTCCTCCTTCATCAACACCTTGCTCTCCTTCAAACTCAACAAACAGCTGCTTCTTCAGGTCGGATGGGTTCTCCATGGAGATCATCTCCAGCTGCAACACGAGAAGAGAACTGAATTATTTTACAAGCACAGCGGGACTGGTGGTGGGAGTGAAACAGTAACATGAGACTCACTCTGACAAGGGCGTCGTCGATGATGTGGTCTCTGCGAACTTTGAGCTTGAGATATGGGTTGGGCTGCTGCCCCTGCACCATGCTGTAGAGAGCCGTGAGGCGCCGCTCGCTGTACATCCTGATCCTGTTGTCGTAGTACAGCCCTTGGTTCTTGGTGATGACGCTGAGGATAAACGGGCAGCTCTGGAAAGAAAATTTCGTTTCGGCATTGACCTTGAAGAAGGTGAAATCTTTGTCCATCTCGACCACATCATTCACCGACTCATTGACAAAGTCCTCAAAGGGGATGACGGGGCGTATACTATCTACAGTTCGGATGGCGAGTTCCTTCTCCAGAGGGTCGACCCGAGGGCCCTTCTTATAGAGCCGCTCCTCACCCAGTAACTCGTGGAGCGTTAGCTCATCGGAATCTGAGTCTTCCTCGTCCTCCTCATTGTGCTCAACATCCACATCACCTGCCAGGATACTTGCATAGAAGATGATCTTCAAACACTGGGTTGCAGCCACCACAGTCTCGTCATCATTTACCAGATTTTCAGCATCGTATTCATTGCTAACAACCGTGAAAGTAATGAGCTGCTGGAAGGTCTCCATCATACGGCGGATGTGTGGGAGACCGTACATCGACCAGAGCTTTGACAGCCTGGCAAGTGCAGTTACTGGCAGTTTGCTCATTGCTTTGCAGAACTGCGGTAATGCAACTTCGAGATACTCTGGGCTGTGCAGGTTACCGTTCTCCATCACGATGATGAAGATATTCAGGTAATCTGGGTTGGCTTCGTACACATCAAGATATTCCAGGTCAAGTTCCACATTTGGAGTGAGGTAAATGAGCGCATTCACAAGAGCTGCCTCCACTTGGTCGATGGATAGGAGTCTGTCGTAGACTCTCCTCACAGCGTGGAGGTCCACCGCAATTTCACAGGTGTTCAACGCGTCATTCAAAGCATCGTCTTGCAAAGCAGCTGCAGAGGAGGCGCCCATCTTCTCCGAGGTTTGTTCTTTCTGTTTCTCTACATCTGTGGGTTTACAAGAGTCAAGGTTTTCAGTGGCATTTGGTTCATCCTTCCTGAAACTCCTCATCAAGGCTTCAGCATTGGAGAAAACCCTGCCGATGACGCGGACGAGAGCAGAATAATCCCCTTCCTCCTCGCAGAAATTCAGGATCGTACAGACATTGTTCTCGGTGAGGTAATGGACATCTGCAACCAATCAGCAATATTAAAACTGGATCAAAAACTGTATCAATGTCCAAAAGAGTCAAGAATCAGCGTTACAATACCTGAGAAGTTTTCCTTGGTGTCTTCGTTCATCTTACTGTCCTGCTCAGAGTTTCCGCCAGCGCTGGACTTGATGGAGGGGTAATAATCACAGAGTTTGGCGTTAATCTTAAACAGCTCAAGCGCTTTGGCGGCTGCCGAATTGTTATCCAAAGGTTGAAAATCACGACATGATGCGCAAAACTCATTCGTGCAGTTGCCATTTCCACAGCCTTCAGTTAACTGCCGAAAGTAGCGCTCAATTAGATGCTTTGCGGTCGCTCTGTTCCTGTGCAAGATATTCAAACAGGAAGTCAGACTGATGATTTCACGTCGTCTTTAGTTAGAACAAAAAGCATAAACACATACTTGCAATGCAAATAAAATATATACAATGAACAGAGGTCGATATTTAACAAGCATTATTACAAATGTTCTTGTTTCAGAGGCTAAGGCATGAGCCATGGAAGAAAAAGAAGGAAACATGAGGGGGTGCAACTCTGAATAAAAATGTTAGTTTAACTTATTGCTTCTCTATTAGTTCAGCTATTGCAAGGACAAATAAAGTGACTTACATTCGGCTGGATTCAGATACCGTTCTGCAGGCCCGGTGGACAGTCCTCTGAAAGGACAATAGTGTGACATCTTATTTGCTGAATTTGTGAATATACAGTTCAGGCTGTCGTGACTATGTGGACTTTTCCTCTCAACTGTATATTCTTGCACAGATGGAATTATTGGCTTTGTTATGTTTTCTATGTACGCATAATTTTGTAGGGTCTTAACCTTAATTTTTTAAATTAGGTAAATTTGTTCTAATATACAATCCTGTAGGTTCTTAACCTTTACATTACAAGTCAGTTGGGTTATTCTGTATTTATACAGGGCCTCTAAAACATATTCACTCCTTTGGACTGGTTCCCTTTTGTTTTTTTTTAAACATTGAATCGTGGTCCATTTAGCTTGACTTTTTGACAGGAATTTACAAAAAAAAAACCAACCAAACTCTACTCTCAACTCTGATGCAAAGAAATCTCAGTTTTGGTCACATGAGACAAAAGAATTTTCTTCCAGTTGACTTCCGAGTCCCACATGACTTTTGGTGAACGCTAGTCAAAATGTATTCTGAGTTTTTACAACATCTTTTCCTCTTCCACTCTTTCATAAACCTTTGACCGGTTAAGCAGCCAGGAAACAGTTGTTGTACACACAGTCTCTTTCATTCCAGCCGCTAAAGCTTGTAAGAAGTCATAGGTGTCTTGGTGGCCTCCCTCTTTCTTGCACAGTCACTCTTTACACATGACCATTTTCCCTCCATTTCTTACTAATGGATTTAAATGTACTCTGAGGGACATTCAGTGATTTGAAAATTTTCTTTGATGCACTGCCTAACTTTTCAGTTAAGTTTTTACAGAGTTGCTTGGAGTCTTCTTTTCTCTTCATGGTGTAGTTATAATCAGGAGTACTGATTCACCAGTGACTGGGCCTTTCAGATACAGAGTCTTTATACTAAAATCATTTGAAACGCATTCACTGCACTGAGACACTAATCGTACTTTGTAAAAATCTGTTTTCACCTTGACATGAAAGAGTCTTATGGGGGTAAATTCTTGTCAAAAACATCTAATAAAATTGAGGTTGAAAAGCAATAAAAGGAGAAAATTTCCAAGATGGGTGAATACTTTTAGTAGGCACTGTATATTAATTTCTCTGGGCTTTAATATGAAGACTTGAGACAATTTAAATGTTTCAATCAGTCCGGTAAATTTGCAAAAATTAATATTGTATACTCGACCAAAAGAAGCTTTTTTGATTTGTTGAGACCAAAATTGAGCTTATTGGCTATCAGGCTTTTTTTCACTTTGACATGAAAGAATCTTCTTTTAAAAGTCTTTTTAAATAAGACAAACTCAACTGACCATGATTCAACCTTGACAAACAGTACAAGTTTCAAGGCACTTTGTATAAATTTCACATTTTTTAACTTTGATATTTAAATTAGTCCGGTAAATTTGCTTATTTATAAATCTTGTACAGTCAACTGGAAGAAGTTTGTTTTTGTTCTGATAAGACCAAATTAGAGCTTTTTATTTTTTAATTTATAGAAATCTACACTCAGTGTCAGAATTTTTTTTTTCTTCTGTAAATTCTTGTCAAAACCGCAAAGCTATATTGACCTTGATTCAATGTTGAAAGGTAATTAAAGTTCCAAGGGGAGTGAATACTTTTTACAGGTAGTCTATATCATTTTCTCATGTCTTAACCTTAATATTTAAATTAGTTGGGTCAATTTGCATGATCATTAATACTGTAAAGTCATAACTAGAATATTTCATTTAGTCATGTAAATTTACATTTTACATAATTTTGTATGTACTTAATACCTATTAGTTTAACTTTTTAGGTAAATTCATAATGTAAATCTTATTTCTCTACTTTGGCTCAATGGCTGTTGTTGTAAATGTGCTGTATGAATAAAGCCGACCCTAATCATTGTGACAGAAGAAAACCTGACTTAAATTAAACTATCACAAAAAAAAACATTGATTTAAAAAAAATATATATATATATACACCACTGCATTCAGCCTGACTGAATCATAAACACACCACACATAAACCACCACATCAACATGACACTGCAGAAACTTGACAGGTGAGCTGTCAGACAGGACAGCTTTAAACCGCTATCTGGCATCACTTCAACCAGATAGCTTCATTTAAACTCAACAACCAGGCTGACCGAGTGCAGCACACATAAAGCAGAGTTAGTCAGTGTGCCGTGTCCGTTGTGGGTCAGTTTCTCGTACCGACCTGTGAGCCGAAGGATCGTCCTGTCTGTCAGTGACACTGCAAAAAACAAATCTGTGCGGTCAGTCTGAGCTGCAGCCGCTCAGCCGCTGCGTTTTGTGTCGCTCCTCCTAAACACAGACACAGACACCGGACATTGATTTCACTCGAGCAGACGAGGCCGGAGCGCGACAGCGAAGGGACGCAGGAATACTTTTCGTTCGTTAAGTCAGAGAGAAATCTCCTCCTCTACCATCTTGTAAACAAGAGCGCCATGTATCCCGGCATGCACCGCGGCTGTCAAACAGCACTTCCCCTCCTCCTGCACAGAAACACACACACACACACACACACACACACACACACACACACACTCAGTTGATTTAACCAGTGTTTAAACTGATTTACTTTTTTTTTTTTTTTTAATTATATTTGCTCCGCAGTGGTGTAGTTAAATTTTAAATTGCCCCTAGGAGATAAAGTTATTTGAATTGAATTGAACTGAAATAATATTATATGATAATAATATTTTCATATCCAGTGGTGGAAGATGTAACTTATTACATTTAAGGAAAATAAGTAATACAGTGAGTTAAAAAAAAAAAATCACTGTAGCTTCTTAAAATTTTGATTTTGAAACAAAATATGCAATCTTAACTATCAACTCAATACAACTTTATTAATATTAACTCTTTGATTATAGTATTAAAAAGCATAGCTCTGCTGTTTGATCCTACAGGTGCTCTTCGGTGAGGTAGAAATAATAATATTAATTCATTTTTCCACATAGACAACAAAACAGACTCTAGGGTTTCATCACTGGATGCATTTTTCAGAATTTTTTTCCTGTAACAGTACAGACCTCTTCACTTTATGCACACGTGATTGTGTTGTAGATTTATTTTTAGTTTTTGTTCACTGATCTACACTGAAAACCCAATAATAACAATGTGAACATTTATTTTGATCAAATATTTACAACTCTCCCCTACAAAAATATTCAAACTCTTCACTGAGGCACCCAAAGGTGGAACTCCCTGTCCATATGTACAGGAATTTCATTTAAAACCTGTCATTTTCTTTGTGTTTTGGTCTTTCGCCTACATTCAAACACAGTTTTAGTGTGCTTTTGGAAAATTTCTTATTATTGCCTTTGTTTACATGATGTAATTTTGTGTAATGGCAGATGTGGCCAAAATAGTGCCGGTGCTAACCTCACTAACAGGACTTGTTATGTCTTCACACATAGACATACAGCTGCTCTTCCACTATACTGAGTAAGGGAGGCATTTTCATCAGTCCACACTCATGATTCCCTTCATCCTCGATGCGCCACTGTTGCTGACTGACTATAACTGGTAATAGTTTTTTCAGACTTCCAATTGGCCAACATGGCGTTAGTGTTAGAGTTATGTCACTGTTTGTTGGTTCAGCTCTAAACAGAGATTCAATTCCATTTTTCGATTCCATTTGATGGAAAAATCCTGTTTTAAAACCAATGTATACAGTACAGACCAAAAGTTTGGACACACCTTCTCATTCAAAGAGTTTTCTTTATTTTCATGACACTGAAGGCATCAAAACTATGACTGAACACATGTGGAATTCTATACTTAACAAAAAAGTGTGAAACAACTGAAAATGTGTCTTATATTCTCGGTTCTTCAAAGTAGCCACCTTTTGCTTTGATTACTGCTTTGCACACTCTTGGCTTTGTCTTGATGAGCTTCAAGAGGTAGTCACCTGAAATGGTCTTCCAACAGTCTTGAAGGAGTTCCCAGAGATGGTTAGCACTTGTTGGCCCTTTTGCCTTCACTCTGCGGTCCAGCTCACCCTAAACCATCTCATTTGGGTAACAGATCCATAGTCTGTATTTAACCTGTGTAACAGTCCAGGATTGTGTACATGTATGATCTGTACATAGCAGTACTGTACACAGTATTAAATACTCTATAGCTACTAGCCAAGTGTTTGTTTTGTTGTTGTTTTATTGACTTTGCTTTAACAGCTCCGTTTCCTCCACGCGTGTAATAAGCCGCTGTAACCGCGTGTTGGTATTATTAAGCCGCTATTTGCCAGCGCCGTCGCCGGGGATCGAACCGGCGTCCTCGTGCTTCGCAGTTCGCGACCCGCTGGGTCATTGTGATTTGCATAAATGTTGGCAAAAAACAC